CTTGATCTTTGAAGCAACAATCTTCCTAGTTGTTAGGGAGAATAGTGGTCATTGTATTTTAATGTACCTTTTCCATTGTATTTACCATTTTCCAAACTTTTGTAATTATCTATGGAGTCACACCATTTGTGGACTACCATTCTATTAATAAAGTTTGAGCCTTTATCCAATTCTTTGTAATTCTTATTTTATTCTGCTTACAAAAATTTCATTTATTATTGATAGTAAATTTTTAAACAAAAGGACTTACATAATAAAAACAATTTTTTGAAAAATTTGCAAAAATATTTTGACTTCGATTTTGTGAATCAAAGAAATAAAAGAGGTTGTTCCAAGGATGGACGAATTATGAGGCTTGAAAGTTTCTACTAAGGAGCCTCTTTTGACCGCTCTTGTAGGAGAATGCGTGATTTCCCCTACAGTTGTTGATCACGTAGTGGATTTCATCCAAGTTGCTATGAAGTGTTGGGTTTTTGATTCGATATTATACAGTTAGGTCTTGGTTCAGATTTCTCCAGCTGAGTGTGGTTCTTTTCTGAGCTAGATTATGATCAAGCAGAGATTGTAAAGCTTTTGCTTAGTTGTTGTATTCTTTCTCCCTTCATGTTTAGAATTGATAAAGAATCTCCTTCAGAGTATTTTACCTTCCATGTTATGACATTATTACTTTTTTGTTCTCCCCAAGTAGCTAGACAAGGACAATATCTTTCCTAAGAAGTGTTGAGACATCTGTCAACTTTTGGGTTTTATCTCGCCGTGTGTTGAGTTTGATTTAAAATCCCCATAAAATTTACTTCTTGTTATGGTGTTAACGTCTTAGTTTCCTCATGTAAACAAGGGGTGATGTTTCTCTTTAAGGTTTTTACCCCCATGAAATTTCTTTGATCATCTCCAATAGAGTTTATGCAATCACTATTCTCGGTATTGGAGAAGCCTTGTGTTTTCTTCCCAGCAGATGTAGTATCATCTTCCCTAGAGAAGTCTGTGTGTTATATCCCAATGAAGCTTAGAGGATGTTGTTATATCCCTGCAGCTTTGTGGATTATGGTTATAGGATTGTGCTTTGCTTTATCTCCAAATGAAGCTTAGAGGACGTTGTTATATCCATGCAACTTTGTGCATATTTTCTTTCCTAGAGAAATTAAGCCTTGAAGTAGGGCGTTGTCCCTCAGTTGGTTGTTTACTCTTTTATGGGACTTCTATCATGGATGTGATTTAGCTTACTTCCGTCTATACCCAAGTTTGTTTTGTCTGGTTACCCCCAGTATTGTATGTTTGTTTTGTAAACATGTTTATTGTTTCCCCATTTGAAGATGAGAATTTTGTTATCCAGTGGTGTTTTATGTCACTCTCTTGGAATCTTTGCCTGACAGCATGTGGAAGTCTCTTTATATTAGCAACTGATATGTACCTGACATATTTTGTTTGGTAACAGGTGAAAGTCTCTTTATTTGAGCAGCTTGAACGTCATCCAGACATCCGTTTTATTTACTCCAATGGATGGTTAGCCTCTTCAATATGATAGAGACAGTTTGTTGATAGTTTCTTACAACAAATTGTTACCCTTTTCAAGTACAAGACTTGGTTAAAGAAGGAACTGAGACCCGTTCATGGCTTATGACCAGAAGCATGGGGAAGTTTATTATCAGAACTAACACTCATTCATGGCTTATGACCAGAAGCGTGGGGAAGTTTATTATCCAAACTGAGACACGCTCATGGTGGGGGAGTTTATTATCAGAACTGAAACCCGTTCGTGGCTTATATCCGAAGTGTGGGGATGTTTATCATCTGACTAAGACTTGTTCGTGGTTTATGACCAAAAGCGTGGGGAAGTTTATTATCCGACCGTCTATGGTTTATGACCAGAAGCATGGGGAAGTTTATTGTTAGAATTGAGACCCGTTCGTGGCTTATGTCCAGAAGCGAGGGGAAGTTTATTATCATAACTAAGAACCATTCGTGACTTATGACTAGAAGCGTGGGGACATTTATTATCTGAACTGAGACCGGTTCGTGGCTTATGACCAGAAGCGTGGGGAAGTTTATTATCTGAATTGAGACTAGTTCGAGACTTATAATCTGAAGCGTGGGGAGATTTATTAGAAGAATCTTATACCATTCTTGGTGAAATCCATAATTTAGGTGTAGCTTATTATTCTTTTCAAGTTTTATCTTGATCAAAGAAGAAGTATAAACCTAAATTTTTTGAAAACTTGTTTTTATAAATGAAGATCCAACCTTCAACTGTCGATTTGATAGTTTAGCGTCATCCGTGAGTCGATACTATTCTCACTTATTAAAGATGATGTTATCTTTCTCCTCCTTGGGCTTTACCCCGATAGAGTTGATTTCTCTTTTCCCCAGTGGAGTTAAGTTTTGTTTCTCCAACGGAGTTAAGTTTTCTTTCCTAGTAGAGTGGAATCATCTCTCCCCCAGTGTTGTCTTATGTTCCTATGTGGGTTTCCTCCTTTTTTATATGTAGCATTCATATTTATAAGCATTGCATGGCATCTTAGGTCCAACAATACGATTGTTGTTATATTTATCTTAAATTGCGTCAGAACAAATATTTTAACCTTTGTATCTCTCAAAAGAAGACACTTAAATAAGGGCAAGTGTTATACCCTAAATTTTCCCCTAATATCCTCCATCATTCCACATCCTCACAATATATTAAGATCACACATTTGAGTTAGTTATCTCTTCTACTTTATCCTCTCTTGAAGTTTGTCCTTGAGGGATCACCAAGAACCTTAATTTGTGTATATTGTATATGTGTGTTACAACCCAAAATTTACCCTCTTCTTTTCATCAATAATTGGATTGTATTTCTCAATCATATGCATTCATACATATCATTGGTTCTATGGTTAAAGGATCAAGGTATATTTCTATTTGGTTTTCTTCAAACAATAAAAGAGAGAGATTTGACAATCATTGCAAGGAGGAGGATATATCCTCATTTTTATGTTCACTCAAGCTATAAAGGCTTCTCATGCCTCAAGATATCTCAATATGTCCACCACTTCATCAGATGATTGAGGTTTGTAATAGTTTAGATGTTGCTCGACATTCTCCTATCTTTTGATCCTTGAGACTAGGGTTTTGATTGTATGGGTGTATTACACATTAATTGGCAAGAAACTTTAAGCATCATCATCATCTTATTACACAAGACATTCTTGTTCAAAATATTCTCAAGCTTCCTCAGAGGAATTGGGGTTTTGAAGATGTGCATATACCTCCTATCTTTTCAACTGAAATTAGGGTTTTGAGTTAAATCAATTTATTTCTGATTCTTTGAGAAAAACTTAATTCCATGGCATTCTATGTGTCCCAGAGTACCTATATATAAAGTATTGGCCATTCAATTTAATCAGAATAAGTTCAATTGATCAAATGATAAGAGGAATTGATTGAGTTGGGAAAAGTCAATTGTGCATGGAAAAATCAACTCCTGACTTTTTATGTTCAAACTTGAGTCACACAAGTCAAACATGGTCAATGGATGAGATCTATCCTAGTGGAATCACAAGAATCAAGAAAAATCAATGAATGATCAAAGTTTCCATTTTGGGAATTAAGGTTTTATGGAAACTTGCTAAAAGTGGAAATGTTCTACACTTAGAAATTTTCACAAGTCTTTTTGGTCAACATCAATTGAGCATGTTTATGGTATATTTTCTCATTGATGCAAGTTCCATTTCAATTTAGTTTCAACATGAGAATTGTTTTCCTTATTTCCGACTTTCCAATGCTTCAAGAATCACATCTTTTGGTCCATTGAATATTAAGATATTATTTTGAGAAGTTGGGTGTTTGAATATGGGAAATTACTAACACTTAGAGAAATTCTCACATGTTCTTATGCAGCTCCAAGTGGAAATTTTCATGGAAATTTTTAAGTGACTTATAGGCTCCATCTCAAAATTCTCTCAGCATAAAAGTTGTTCATCTTGCTCTCTTCTTTCCAATGATCTAAAGTTTGTTCCATTTGAGTGAAAATCCATCAATTTATAATCATACAAAGTAGCATGTTTGGTCATATTTTGTTGGAAATTGGAAATTTTTGTTTTGGCATATTTACAACTTTTGGCTTGTAGTATTAGGGGTGTTCAAAACCAAACCGGTCCAATAGAAAACCGCAAAACTGAACCGAATCAAACCGAAACTGCAAAAAACCGCATTTGGTTCGGATGTTTTTGGGTCATTTTCTCGTGGAACCGCATGGTTCGGTTCGGTTTGTGGTTTGTATTTTACAAACCGAACCAAACCAAACAAAACCGCATTATGTTAAAAAATCTTACTAACCAATATATATTTCTATAATTCTTTAGAGAAATCAACATGTATTATGTGTATATTTTATCATACTTTGTATTATATTCATTTTAATTTACAAATCATAAAAAATAAAATATTATTCATTTATAAATACTATTTTCACAAAATATATTTTATCATATTCTTTGTATAATATTTATTTAAGAATACAATCTTGTTGATATCATTATTTAGATTTAGATAAAATTATAATACGCAATTTTATGTATCAAATTATAAATTTATTTTGACAATTATAAATTTTTTATGGTAATGTATGAACAATTAAATATAAAATTATATTTTCCTATATATTTGTATGTATGACATAATAATTATTTTTGTAAAAAACCGAAACAACCGAACCAATCCAAACCGCATTAGTTTGGTTTGGTTTGATTCAGATTTATTTTTAAAAGCCAACCGAACTAAACCGAACCACATATTTTTTTCTCTTGCGGTTCGGATAATTTTTTGCTTCAAAATCGCCCAAACCGCACCGCGAACACCCCTATATAGTATAGTGATGCAAAGCCAGAATCACACGCACCACTCCTTTCCCTTTACTACAAAAAGCTAAACCACTCTTAAAGCACACATGCATTTTCATGATACCAAAATTACCAAAAATGGCTAAAGTGTGACAATTACAAACTTGCTCAACAATCTCTCTCATGTGCTATCCTGTACACACTCTCAGTTGTTCACTAAAAAAATCAACAACAACACTACTTGATGGAGTGAAACGCATCACACAATCACATGTTCATGTTTCAAATTTTCCAAGTTTTCCCTCTAACAAACTTCTCTTCCACTCTATCTCACTCAACACACTCTATATAACTTTCTCCTCTTTCTCATTCACACACACACGCCTTGCACTGCTTAAAAAGTCAGATCTGATGTTGCTTACTATTCTTCAAAGCTTTCTTTGAATTTTAATTTTCTCTCAAGGAAGCTTCAATCTATTTCCCATTTCCTCTTCTCTGAAGTATGTAGATCAAGTTTTTTGGGTTTCTTAAGCATTTGTACACAAGGGGGGCAGTGGACTCAACTTCCACTTGGTAAGCTTATCATCTTTACTCCTTTCATTTTAGATCTACCATGAATAGTTCATGCATTGCATCTGGATGCTCTGCTTACATAGATGTTAGAGCTAGGCTCAAAATTGCTTAAATAGCCATGTATGTGATGTTTGGATCTTGAGTTTTCAGTTTTGAACGTATGATTTTCGTTCCATTTTTCTATGTGATTGAGTTTTCATTTTGGGATCTAATTGATACAGTGATGATCTATGTTCTTTGTACTTCACTTTTTCTCTTTACATTTTTTGATTTCATGGACTATTGAGAAAGATATTTGGATGTGAAGTTGCATGAAATTCATGGTCAGGGTTTGTGTTTTTCTGGTTTTGTGTAGTTGAAATGAAAAAGATGAAGTGTGGCATGTTATGACTGGACATTGAATTTCACATCCCTCTCTCTTTCTCCTTGTCACACACACATTCCCTTTGTTTATTTATTTTGTTTTTGTTTATTAAAATCAGAAAATAGAAAAGAGAAAAACATGATTGGCTGGGAGGTTGTTTTGTCTTTTATGACTTAAGTTGTACCTTGATAGTTTGATAAGAGTCACATGCATTATTTGTTACATCTCTATTTTTCTGAATTAAATAAAAAATGAGACAAATGTTGTTGGGTGGGCTGAAGCGCCCATAGGCCCATCACTCTTTCTTTTCGCACTCCCTAATTCCAAGCACAAATACATGATTGAACTAATCTTAGTTATTTGTCATTCTTGCTGATACACACCTTGACTTGCTTTGTTATTTTTTATTTCCTTTTTCCAAATTCATTTTATTTTAATAGTTCTTTTATTCCAAAATTCCACAAAAAAATATATTCTGACATTTCAATGTTTCATTTAATTTTCAATAATTTTTATTTTTAGTTTTCATTTAAATTTCTATTTCTATTTTCATTGAATTAATTGCAAAAAGTGTTTTAGTTAGTTTTATTTGTGATCAAACATTTGTTTCAATGCTTGACTTCCCTCCAATATCAAAAATCTACAAAAATATGTCTCATGATCCTTATAGTCTTCGGCTTATATATTTGATTTTTGTTTGATTTTTACTTTATTTTGATATTTTATTTGGAATTACTTTTTGAATGAGTTTAATGGACCTAATATTTTGAATTAGGGTCTTTCCCTTTGATTCTTGATCCCAATTTTTTCACACTCTTAGGCACATGTATATAGGACACTTGAGTGTCATTGATGTTTTTATCATTAATTTTGGTTCATGTTTAAAACTCTTTTTGGAGCCTAACTTGTATGATCAATAGTTTGTATGTATGCTTGATGTTTGAGTTGGCTTGAGCAATTTTTATACACCTTATTAAGTTCATTTTAAGATATCTTTGAGTCCCTGAATTTATCATGCTATGACATTTATTCACATTTTTTAAGCCTCCTAACTATTCCTTTTATGTAATACAATCCATACTTAATTGTTTGAATGTTTGTGTTATTAGTTAAATTATTAGAGGTGCACTTGTGCAATCATTTAGGGTTTGTGTTTGCTTCCCATTCTTGACTGAAATGCCATGTGGTATATCCTTCTCACCTCATTTTATAGGCATTTCATGCCTCTTTGATTGAGTTCACAATTGATTGAAATTTTCCATGTATTGGTTGCCTATCTTTAGTGCCTTTCCTTGAGCTAATCCTATTCCATTTATTCTTGATGTTTGAGTGAATTACATTATGAGTTTAACATGTCTTACCTTTTGACTTGTGTGGTTTGTACTTCCCTTCCGTGATCCCTTTTCCCCTTTACTCAAAGTGATGCTTGTATGCCATTAGGAGTATGATTAGGGTTTTGATTTGCTCATCTCTTATTTAAATATTTAAGTTTACTTGTGTATGTTTCCTTAGTGTTTTTTATAGGTCTTTCATGTGCTTTTATACTATGTCTAAGCTTCTAACCTCGCTTCTTTTAGTTGCCTAAATCTATGCCTAATTGTTTACTTCACTTGTTAGAACTAGTTCACTTCACTTGTCAACTTTGCTTGATGTTTGTTTTCTTTGGTGTTTGTACCTTGAATTCAACTCTTGTTTGAAATTCTTTATGCCTTCAAGACTTATTCTAATTTAATACCATGTTCATACTTATCTCTCCCTCTTCCCATATACCTTCTCTTTTAACTTGTTTTGCTTGATAGCATTGCATGAGGACTTGTGCCCACTTAGGGTTGATTTTGACTATGTACATGGGTGATTTTGTTGTTCTTATTTCTCAAGCATGTTTATATGATGATGATGATGATGATGATGAATCCTTTGTGCCTTTTCTATCGGCTTGTATACTTTTTCATATATTTCACTTTAATTCACCTTCTTATACCATGATAAGTTAGGCACTTGACACATAAAGCTTTACTGGCTAATATGCTTGTTTGTTTTCTCTCTCTTGCTACCCTAATGCCTATACCTATTATGCATGACTCTTAGGGTTTGTTTGACATGTCTTAGTGGTTACTTTGATGTGATGTTGTTGCCTACTAATGTTTGATAACATGTCTCATGTTTGAGTTTTTGTATGCAACTTGCCTGTGAAGTTTTGTCTTTATTTCCCATGCTTAGATAAGTGTATATGTTTGATAACATGAAACCTTTTGAGATCTGATATATTTTCCCTGTTTAGACATTGGTGGTTACCTTTTGTCTCTTACATTTTAGTTTCTTTGGTTAAAGTAGCATGTTTGGAGTTGATACTTCTAAATGTTTGTTTGTTCTTTCACTTGCCTGGTGAGGTGATTTTCTCTTCTTTTTTACTTTTGTTGCCTTGTTTAGGATAAAGTTGAGTTCTATAAATGTTAGTACCAGTAGCTTTAAGATGTGTTATTTTGTTCTCATAACACGTCCATTTGGTTTGTTAACCATTACTTCTTTGCCTTTTTGTCTTACTTGTTCAAGTATGATAGTCCTTAGGTTAGGAGATGTTTGTCTCTTGTATGCCTTAGATCTTTTCTTATATGGATTTATATGTGATTGTTAAATTACCATCTTCTCTTCTACTTGGTTACTTGCTTAGGTGTTCATCTAATTACATATTCTTTCTATATTAGTAAGTGTTTACTTCTCATGGGATGTTTGATCGTTTAATTGACATCTTTCCTTCTTATATTCCTTTGATAACATAAATGCTAATTATTCAAGTTCTCTTAGTGTTATCTTTGGTCATGATTTTACTTGCTTATGTGGTCACCTATTAGTATATGTTCTTTGATACTTGCTTGTTTATGTAGGTAATTTCTAGGTATCTTGTTTAAGTGATTAGTATGTGAGTAAGTGGTTACTTCTCATTTGATGTGTGATTGTTTAATTGTCATTTCCTCTCTTCTATCTCTTTTTTGATGACATGATAATACTTGTTTAAGTTTATTCTTTTTGTTATCTTTGATCAAGACTTTGTTAACGCTTAGGTGGTCACCTAATTGCATATGTTTGTTACTTTGATACTTGCTTGGTTTAGTAGGTATGCTTTAGGTATCTTGGTTAAGTGCCTATTTTGTGAGTAAGTGGTTACTTCTCATATGTATGTGTGTTATACCTAATTTTTATCCCTAAGATCCCTCATCACATCATATACATCTCATTCATATCACCAATTCCATGGTTATGGGATCAAAGGGCTCTTGGAATTAGGGTTTTCTTTATGAATTGAGGTTGCTACTTTACTCAAAGTTTATTCAACTGATTCATTCAGCTCTTGGTATGAAACTAGGGTTTTGGATCACAAACGTCATGGATATCTTCCTCGGCAAGATTCATTAAGCTATAAGTTTATCCTCGTCAAAATTTCTCAAAGAACTAGTGCATTAGGGTTAACTTGTATGCTTAAGATTTCATCAATGACTTTATTGAGAGTGTTCTTGAGTCATGGTTTTGTTCTTCTAACCATCTCAAGCTTTCTTCATCAAGGGAACAATATTATTTCCTCAGTACGAGTTCATTATCATCATTTAGGATTTTTCCTAATGGCTTTCTCTACAAGACGTTACTTTCAAGAAGTTTATAGGATTTCATCAAGGACTCCTTTCTTGTGATGTTAGTTCCCAAATGGTTGAGGATTTGTTGAGGGTTTTATAAAATTAAGATGTACTTTGTTGTGAAACTATGGATTTGAATTTCATCAAACTTTTTGACGTGGTTTGGTTGCTTCTCAAATGGGTGGTTCAGTTAAATATTGAGGTTCATTGAACTAAAATGTTCATATTGAAAGTATCTTGGTCGTCTTTCTCCCTGCACCTCAACTCCTATATAAGGATCACTCAAAGCATTATGGTTATCTTAAAGTACCTAGTGTTGGTGTTACAAGTTACCATGGGTTGGAGATCAAAATTAAGGTCCCATTGGAGATGATTTAGAGATTCACTCAATAAATGCCATCAAGTTTAAATGGATTCAAAGTCCGGTCTGTACCAGTCCATCATTGTCCGTTTATTTCAAAGCAAGGCTCATAGATTTTTCTCCATCCAAGAGGGCTTATATTGATGGAATATCAAGTCATGTGGATTTACCTCACAAGTTATATGTGAATGGATACTTGAGATAAAGATATTCATCTAGGCATATGGTTGACTAGTAATACAAGCTTGCTAGAGGTTTCATGTCAAATGTCTCAAGGTTAAAACCTAATGTTGTCTTGTAAAACATTAAGGTTTTAAATCATTTGTCATGTAGATAATCAAGCCTATGCAACCTGAAGGCAATTTGAAAAATGGGATGATTCAATTCATATTCATATGATCCCTTCGAGTTGCTAATATAGAAGAATACTTTGATTATCATCATTAAAACTTTAAAATATCACAAGGTTTCCAAAAGTCAGAGTCATTTACAATATGAATCCTTACATAAGAACATGATAAGAAGGCATTTCAAGTTCATTACCAACACAAGACTCTACATCTAGGAGGATGTACAATACCATTCCAAAACCATACATCATATGCCATTTCAAAATTACAAAGAAAATTTCATTAAAAAAAACTTCTCCTAAAACTTATTTGTAATCTTCCATCATACTTCTGTTTCTTCTCACTTCAACCTTGCTTGCACTATGCCAAAACTTCTTCATTCTTCCTTCAACAAATTTACCATGATCAGCCCTGCCCTGCTCCAAAACACTGCAATCTGTCCAGAAAAGGCTTCATGTCCATAAAAAACCAGTGCACTCTTTGATGCATTATAAGAAAACCGATTCACCTGCATTAAACCATATGGTCCATTCAAACAAAATTCAACATAAATTTAGAACAAGCAATACGTCAGTTGGAGACCAGCAGAAGTTACTCATGAACTCAGGCCATTTTGGTTCAGTAGAAAATATAGAGGGAGATAATGTTGGTCCAGAAAATAAAATAAAATAAAACTAAATAAAGGAATTGCATTGTTCAGCTCTTTGTCGAGACCGTTCATCGTATGTTCATGCAATAAAATTTAGAGAAGATGTATTAGTTCACATAAACCAAGTTTATCTAGCATGGTTAAATCAGGTTGCAACTTACATCCAAAAGACCGAAGCCAGAAAATATAAAGAAAGGAAATGGTGAAACAGAAAAATAAGAAATCAAGTCCCAACTAAATTCAGTTCTAGCATAACAGAAAAATCAACGGCTTCTAGCTGACTGCAAAATCCATAACAGAAAAACAACATAAACTATAACTAACAATAACAGATCCCTAACCGATTTTAAACTACCTAACCTCAGCCCTTGATTCCAAAATAGACTCTATCAAGATCCAATGGCTAAGGACTTCTCACTTCAACCTATATAACGGAACCATAACAGAATTGAGGGAGGGGGATAACATAAAACAAAAAGTTCACAGAACCCTGATCTCTGAACCTCTTTGAGATTGGCGGAAGAACACTCATCTTCATCTTCAACCTTCACTCTTCTCACTCTCTCTTCCACCTCAAATCCGTACAACACTCTCTCTCAATTCTCTGCGACTTCACCTTCCCAAACCTCACTACACGCTCTCTTCTGAGGCCATTAAAGCTTCACATCGAAGCTTTAATTGGTCGAGCTTAGACCCCTTCAATTATCATTCTTCACACATTCTGAGTCCTCCCCCATTCATCATCATCAATCTTTAAACCTTCAAAGTTTATTTCTTGATTACACTCTATTCATCTCAACAACAATAGCGAAACAGGAAAATACAAAGAAGCAAGAGTAGAAGAAGTATTCGCATAAGAAATATGAGCTTGTACCTGAATAAGAGTTTTCTTAAGGGTCTCTAGGTTTCTCGACTATTAGCTTCGTCAGAATTCACCTCAACAATTGTCGGAACATCCCTCGGTTCCAGAAGTAAACACAATTTTCCTTCTTTCTTATTAAGAACCCCAAGCCTGCATGATCCAAAGCTTTCACCATGGAATTTCATTAAACCTTCAATATCTAGGGTTTCGACTATATGTATGGGTTATAATCCAAAATGAATGCAAAAATCATTGGTGGATTCGTATTGAGGGCATTAAGACGAAGGGATTGATGTATGCAATTTAAGTTTCGCGGTCGTTGATAGTGGCGCTCGTGGTGATCTTCCTCGCCGAAAATCACACTGAGAATAAAGTGGGAAGGAAGAAAGTTATTTGCAAGAAAGTTGAGAAGTCACAGTGCATGTTTTAACTTAGCATAGTCAAAACGATGCGTTGCCGTTAATTTCCATTTATTTTTTTTAGTTTAATTTAATTGGAAATTCTGAATAATGCTAAAAAGGATTAAAGGCTGAATTGATGGTGGGCCTGGATCGCATATTCAATTTTTCTAGAGGCCTGCTACATTTTTTGACACTTGAGAGGATGTACAAAACCATCTTGGACCAAGCAGATTGGGCCTAGCGCCCTTGTTGTTGAGTCCAATGCTCTATGCCAGTTCAACACCATTGGACCCTTATGCAATGGACCCCGCACCTAGTTTACCACAATACACAACCAGCTGCAGTTTAGCACACCCCCTGACTCTTTCTAGTTCCTTTGGTTTATAAATTTTGTTTTTTTAGTTTAAATTCCTTTTTTTACATTAAAATAGTAATGAAATACATATAATAAAAACAATAAAAATATATAGAATTTAGGAATTTCTCTTTTTTTTAGATGATAAACTACAAAATCAATAAAAATTGTAGGCTTTCTTATATGATTTTTGGAAATTAATTCATAATCTTTCGATTACTTGAAACTTGTGTTTCACTTCTGCTTGTCGAGATTTGAGTTTTATGCAGGTTTAGTATGTGATATGCGGACATGTTTGAGTCCCCGATTGTGATTTATTTTCACATCGATGATGTTTTGACACCTATTCCGAATATTCGATCTCTGACTGCTTGTTTGTTGGTGACAACTCACGCGAACTATTCCTGGTGTCTTTGCTTTCGTTGCGCTTTTTGCGTACTTTATTGTTCATTTAGTATTATATTGCTTCTAAGTTATATTTCCACATTTATCGCTTTCTAGAAATCACGTGAAGTAGGAAACAGGAAATAAAGAGCGTGCGCTCGAAGTCACTGTTTAAAGTCCTGTAGCAGGCACCACTTTTTGTATGATATTTGTGTTTGTTTAAACTCCTACCTTTGAAGTAGTTATTCCGCATGTATGGTTACATTTGTGCACGCATTATATTACAAATGATAAGTCCTCAAAAGGAGGCAAGCGGGGAGGGTCCATAATCGACCCTCACACATTCTAGTATGTGTCATCCTTAGCTCACGTTATACATTGATGCTTCGGAGTCGTGCAAATCTTATGTATCGAGTTCTGCAAGTGGGGAAGGGTTCCACAATCGAAACCCCATGCTTTGTCAGGAGTTCACATTGGCCGATGCTGACACTCTTTGATCGTTCATATTGCCTTATGTCACCTACCTCGATCTCTTATATCTTAGTTAGGTGTTCATTCACTTTGAACATCATATTTTCGTTTTCTATCTGTCTCCCGCTTGTTTTCTATGGGTGATTCTCTCCCCTTATCTAAAATATTTCTCTTGTTTCCCCCATCCCTTTTGGTGTACCCCAATTTTTGCCCCCTAAGATTCCTCTATCATCTCATATCAACTCAATCACAACAAGATCACACTAGGGTTTGGTTCTTCTCCCTATCTTAAGGATTGCTCATGAGGAATCACCAAGCACCTTGATTTATATATTATTATCATATATATTTTGTATTGATTAACTTTTAACTAATAAATACAATTAATGTTTTCTCTAATTAATGATGTTATAGGTGAAAGTATAACACATTTCATCAAGTCGATTTATAGGTTCATGAGTTTATTTCCATGCCTTCTTCAACAAAGCTTCATTGAGATTCAATTTTCATCATTGAATATGCTTTGAATTAATATCATGACAAGGTCTACTATGATTCATCATGCCTCAATTTGTCAAAGAAAATCAAAAGATGCAAGAGTTGATTGAAGAAGTTTGACCTAATTGGATAAGTTCTTGATTTCTTGATCACAAGTGCATAAATATCTCAATTCTTAACATTTGGAGGTAGTTTTTGTTTCTATGGGTTATTATCATCATCAAAAATAACTTCTATTCATAAGGAAAAAGTTATTGTGCAAGAAAGTTTGTCAAAATTGCAAGGGGTTTCCAAGTCATTTTGGGACTCTAGGAGCTAGGGTTTTGAACTTCTAAGGGCTATATCTTGCTTATCTTTAGGTATTTTTGAGTAATTCCAAAGATATGCTTCTATTTAAAGGGTTATCAACTAATCACTTCAAAAGTTTCAAGAATATTCTATGTGGAAGATGCGTAATGATGAAGAAAAATTACAAGTCCTCTAGATAGGCCATCAAATTCTCTTATGTGACTTCAAAAGATCATAACTTGGTCAATTTTTATCTCCTTGAGCCAATTATTTTTCCAAAATGGTCTTAAGGATGTGAACTTCAACTCTTATTTTATTTGCAAAGCTTGAAAATGGATGGAAGATGCCCTAAGAATGCAAAAGATTATAGGTCATCTCATGAATTTTCACCAACTTCACAAGGCCATAACTTTTTCAACACTTGGTATTTTTGAGTGATTAAAGTTTCACAATGCTCGTTGGGAAGTCTAATTCAAGCTAGTGTCATTGATCAAAACTCAATTTTTGAGGAAGGCCTTGTTTGGAGTCAAAACATTATAGGTCACTTTTGAAGAAAAACTTAGAATTTTTCTAAGTACAAAAAGTCAGCATCTTTTTCTCAACTTTGACTTATCACAACTTTTAGCTCAAGCATCCATTTTATTATATTATTTCCACATTGTAAAGATTGTAACTTTATTTTTCAAATTCTTCAATAATCATTCCCTAAGACCCCTTGAGCTATGAACACCATAGATTTCAAGTTGGTACCTTGAAACTGAAGTTTTCTCCAAAGTCAGAATTTGAAATCCATAACTCAGCTTCTAATGACTAAATTTCTACGCGTTTTTACTTCTAATCATGTTTAACAATCTTCCAGAAGTGATTAGAACCTTGAAACACAAGTTTTGGTTGAGTTTTGAGCAAAATAGAAGTCACATTTTTCATGCTTGCAACTTCACACGATTTCCCTTCAAAGTTCATCATTCCACACGCTTGAGCATCCCATTTGCTTTCCTATAAATAGAAGGTTATATCTCACTCATTTTCTCAAGCTTAGACAACCATAATCACCCTTCCCAACTCTTTCCTTAACCCATATTTCTGCAAATTTGAATTTGGTTTTACATCCTTCTTCAATCCAATTTTTTGTCAATTCTTCATCCTTGAACTTTACTCAAGCTAATAGAAGAAGAACCAAGCCCTAAAGCATCATAAATTGTGCTAGCCAAGTCAAGTTTCAGAGCTCTGAATTTGAACTTCAATAGGTAGATTCCTTCATTAATTCTCTCCAAATTTGTTACCACAATGAAGCTCTCATCATTCTGATACTAGTCACAACATTTGTTTTCAATTGGAATTGAGTTTTCATCATGAATTTTCAAATCCATATTCAATTTTTTTCTTCTGGTTTTCTTCAAATCGACTGAGCTACAACTTATATAAATTTTTCGCGAGGGTACAATTTTCTTCGTCTTGATGAGACAAAGAGAATGACATTAGTCTGAACCTCTAATTTTACAGTTTGAGGAACCTGGTTTTGAGGTTGGTTGGAGGTTGAAGACGACCATGCTGGCGTCTTCAACCAATGAGAATTCACCCGAATTTTTTAAATCTGTTTTAAATAGTTGATCTAGTGGTTTATTCACTAATGACCATGATATGCACATTGCGCCAAATCCCTTGGATTTGATTACTAACGTGTTTTGACATTGATCCAATGGTCCACATCTTTTTGGTTTATTTTTATTTTCTGATTTTTATTTTATAATTGATTTAAACTTT